TGGGCTGGGTGAGATGAGTCCTTAAGAAAGCTGCGGGCTCGATGTAGGCAGCGTTTGTTCTGGATGTGCTCAATGGTGGGTAGTGAAGTTCCAGTGATGCACTGGGTGGCATTCACCACCCGCTGCAGTGCCTTGCGCTCTGCAACAGAACAGTTTCCATACCACATTGTTACACAGTAGATTAGGATGCTTTCTATTGCACGGCGATAGAAGTTCACCAGGATATTTGAGGTTAGCTGATTCTTTCTCAGTGTTCTTAGGAAGAAGAGGCGCTGGTGAGCCTTCTTGACCAGGCCGGAGGTGTTGGTTGACCAGGACATGTCCGCTGAGATGTGGGTCCCCAGAAACTTGAAATCCACTGATGTGGATGGTGTCGTGGGTGCCTGTTGAATCTTTTCTGAAGTCTATGATGAGCTCCTTCGTTTTGTTGGTGTTGAGGAGCTGGTTATTTTCATGGCACCATGTGGCCAAGCACTCGATCTCCTCCCTATAAGCAGTCTCATCGTTGTTGCTGATGAGACCAATCACCGTGGTATCATCCAGATGCGTACACAGGCTTGCAGTCGTGGGTGAAGAGGGAGTAGAGAAACGGGCTTAGCACACAGCCCTGTGGTACACCAGTGCTAAGTGTGATGGACGTGGAGCAGTGGGAGCCTGATCGGACATTCTGTGGTCTGTTGGTCAGAAAGTCCAGAATCCAGTTGCACATGGAGGTGTTGATGCCCAGGTCTCGAAGTTTGGCTAATAACTTCCCCAGAATGACTGTTGAATGCTGAGCTAAAGTCAACAAACAGCATGCGTGCATAAGTGTTCTTCATAAGTGTTGGGGACAGACATTGAGAATTAGCCTTAGCTAAAATGTTGTAGTGTGTGACATGATGCATGAAACATACTTGTCCCTATCAAATAAACGAATAAATAAATAAATATTGTCCAGATGTGTGAGCACAGAGTGCAGTGCCATGGAAACTGCGTCCTCTTTGCTCCTATTGCTGCGGTATGCAAACTGATGTGAGTCTAATATGGATGGTAGCAAGTCTTTCAGGTGTGCAAGGACCAGCCGCTTAAAGCACTTCACTAGGATTGGTGCGAGTGCTACAGGGCGGTAGTCGTTAAGGCACCTTGCTGGAGTGTTTTGGCACCGGCACAAGTGCATTTGAAGCATGTTACTAAAGCTGCTTGGGCAAGAGACAGGTTTGAAATGTCTGTAAGAACCCCAGTGAGCTGCTCTGCACACACCCTGAGTACACGTCCAGGGATGTTAACTGGTCCAGCTGCCTTGTGCGTGCTGATCCTGCTCAGTGCATTGCAGACATCTGTGGAGGAGAGTGTGATTGG